CCTGGCCAGAAACAGAATTATTCTGCAGTTTCAGACGTTCTCCTCAATCCTCTTTGTTCCCCTGTTCCTTCTGTGTTTGCATTTTACTTGATTTTTCTTCATCTGCATACTGTTCTTCAGTATTACATCTGGTGAAATCTACACCAACCAGTTTGTACCTTCCTTAAGTACTGCCAGAAACTGTCTGCTCTTTCTCCTATTACAAAATTATAGCTTAAAAAAATCTCTTCACTCCTGCTATCAAAAAAAAAAATACACAGATATCCAAACATTTTGCCGCCAGTATAACTTAAGCCACAACTCTCATGTGTGTGACTATTTCAGTTGATGACAGGGGTAAACTGAGGGATTAGATTTAGGGAATTTTAGGGGGGAGCTCTCTGGGGAATGAGGCCTTCAGCATCCTGAAGCTCCACGCCACTCTGTGCCCAGTCGCATGCAAACATGTCTTTCTCAGGGGTGAGTCTAAATTCTGCAAATGTCCTGAACCATCCAATCAACTAGCACCAACATTTGAAAGGAATTCAGTGTGGCCCAGAAGCAGTGGCAGAGATTTGAGATGCCTGGGGCTTGCACGTGCGGGCAGGGCAGTGGCTCGGGGTTCCGAGACGCACGGGCACTGTGATGAGCAGCGTTGCTAGGCCATGATTACTGTGTACTGATACAGTCCAGCGGACACAGCTTCCCAGCCAGACCCCAGTGGTGGCGGAAAGCCTAGTGGTAGAAATGTGTTGAGCCCATAGGCCCGAAAATGAGTAGGTTTTTTTGTTTTTGCTGTCAGAACTGTGAGCCACCTGTGGGCTCTTCTTCCATTAGCCCTCAAAGAGACCGCAGGAACTCCCAGCCTGGATATCGCATCTGAACAAAGGATATGAAAAAGATCCACGTAGCCGCCAGCTTAGGAAACATCTGAAAGACCCAGCACGTTCTCTTGCTAAGAAAAAAACGGCCTGGGCGAACCAGATAAAAAGAACAGGCTACAGGCGTGAGGGACAGGGTGGGGCGGGCCTGAGAGGAGCCGGGGGCCCAGCCACCTGGCAGCTTCCCTCTGGGGCTGCTGGAAACCAGCGTGGGGTCCCGTGCCCAGCCGACTTTATAGGCAACTAAAGCTTTAACTGGTTTTGGACCCGCTCATAATTCCCCTTAGAGAGCACTTTCCTGACAGTTTTTAAGTGATTTAACTGCATATCAGTAATAACAGAAACCAAATTAAACATAAACAGAAAATGGCATCTTATTTTGAATGTACACTTTTATATACAGGAAAGTGTGTAATGAGAAAAATAATTCTTGTGATAGATGAGCCTCTGGGATAAAAATTCTTGGGATAAAATTCAATATCCGTTTATATCAGTGTACACGTTTGTACATGTGTTCTTTACTGAAGGGCCTTAGAGGACAACTTTCAAGTGGGGAGATGGCTGTGTTCTTGAATAGGTGGACTCATTTTTTAAAAATGTGTGGTCTTCCCATGTTTATTCAGTTTTACATAAACCAAGTAAACATTATCATGGTTTTTAAAAATTTTGAGTTACACATGCTGTTTTTAATTCTTGTGATAAAATTCAAATTTCTGTGTAGTAGACAAAGACAGAGCTTTGCCCTTCTAGATATCAAAATGTGCTCTAAATTTCCACAAATTATTCATTTACCAACAACTGAAAAACAGGTAAATGAACGGAACAGAAAATACCCAAACTCCCAAGTATATATAGGACTTTAGAACTTGTCACTGATGAAATTTCACATAAGGATAAGTTATTCATAAATGGTGGAAAAATAATCTATTTAGAGAAAAGTAGCCAGATTTTTACCTCACAAAAATAATTTTCTGATGTGTAGATTAAAATTTTTAAATATACAAAGTGAGAGAAGTACCAGAAGAAAACATAAACTCCTATTTATACATTTTTTATGCTGACAAAGACATTCCGAGGAAGGACTTGAAAAGCAAGAATCTGGAGGTTGACTTAACAACATAAAAAAATTAAAACTCTGTAGATCAGAAAATAAGATTAACAAAATAAAAGACAGTGTTTTAAAAGATTTACTATGTGTATCAGACAAAAGAAATCTTCATTTTTACTGACAAGTCTTTGAAAGCAACAAGCAAAACTTCTAATTTGAAGTTGGGCAAAGTACTTTTTTTTCATATCTGTAAGTGACCAATGGATATAGGGAAAAATATTTAGCATCTCTGGTCAGAAAAGGAACTTAAAAGAAAGGAAATACCATTTTCCGTTCACAAAATTCGTCAGGATGAAGAGCAATAATATGTGTATTGTTGATTCAAGTTTAAGTTGCTTTTGAGTTTTCAGAGAGACAATTTGCTGAGAAGTACCGCATTAAAAAGTGTGTATTCCCTTTACACGTGAATGCTGTTTATACTATTTAGAGGTAAATAATTAGAGATAAATTAAGAGATAAATAACATACAATTTGTTTTTCTCAAGACTACCTAAAACAGCAATGTATAAAGGAAAACTCACAAAGGATTTTTTAAATCAATTGCAGTGCATTTGGTATGGAGTGATATTTGACCATTGAAGGTGGCATAGATAATAGATGTATGTTGACCTGCAGAGATGTCCTTTTGAAGATCATTGAAAAAAAGAAAAAATCAGTTTTATTACATACAAACACAAGAAGGCTATGGTCTTAGCCAAAAATATGTACACAGATGTGATGAAAATTTAGTTCTGGGCATTTGCATTACATGTGAAGATTTTTCTTTTAAAAAAATCTGTGATTCTACAATGAATATGTACAAAAATTCTAGTAAATGTTTATTATTAATGAAATACTCCTGGGAAAGAGCAAGAATATGAATCTTGCACAGATAAAAATAATTTCTAGTCCCAGCAAGGAGGGGTTGGGGCACAGTCCACCTTCTTAGCCGTTTGGTTTCCTTGGTGAGTGGGGCACCTGTCCAGGAGGGCATGATCTGTGAACTGGGACCCTGGGCGGGAGGAGGCAGTTGGATGTCAAAGTCACGGCCAGAGACCTGGGTCTGACCCTTCCTTCATCCTCCAATGAATAGGTCATTTTTTTATGTGAGGAGGCAGAGATGGGAGGGGAGTTTGCACCCACATGGGCTGAGGTTCAGAGAGTGGAGCTGCAGGGAGGCTGTGGGATGGCTGGAATGACCTTTCTCCTCTGCTCCTCTGTTCTGCATCCCCTTTGGCTGAGTTTACAGATCCTTCCCTGAAAGATGGGGTTGGGGAGGGGTGAGGTCAGAGAGGCCACAGAGGCCCAGAATGGGAATGACCCCCATGGTCACCACGGGGCTTGCAGGCAGGCCCAGAGCAGAGGGGCCATGCCAGTCTGTCCCGATGGGCACAGCCGAGGCGTATGTGGCCTGCAGCCCTGTCTGGGGCTGCCCACTACTCCCACTGCCTATGTGGGAGAGGTTGTGCCTGGGCCCCTGGCTTCCTGCCTCTCCAGCCCCTGCAGGTGAACATACTGGCAGGTGACAGACAGGTGCATAGAGCAGGTGTTTAAGAGCAGGCCCGGGTCCTGTGTAAGGGCCCCAAGCTCGGGGTTGTCACTGCCCCCAGCATGCTCGAGGCCCAGCCTCCCCACGGGGCTGATAGTGCTCTCTTCTGCTTTCTCTTCCAGCCGCTGCTGGCAGCCCCAGGCTGGCGTCCAGGCCCCGGATGTTAGGAGCCACTGCTGCCCCTTGGTCGCCTGAAGCCCTCTCTTCTTCCTGCCTCCGCTCAGAGCTCTGCAACCTGGCCCGAGCCCAGCCTGGCCCTACTTGCCGCCAGACGCTGGCATGTCAAGGCCTGGCCCACACCTGCCTGCTCGGCCTGTGGAACCTTGGCAGTCCCTCCAGCTAGGATGAGGGGCCAGGCCGCTGCCCCAGGTGCCCTATGGATTTTCCATCCGCTGCTGCTGCTGCTGCTTGGGCTCCAGCCAAATGTGGCCTCAGAGACGGATGTGCATCCTGGGGTGGGCCGTGCCCCATGCTGGTACAGGGCAAGTTCTTTGGGTACTTCTTGGCGGCCACCGAGTTCTCTGCCAATGCTTTGTGCTGCTCCTGGACCCTGTGCAAGCCGAACCTGCACCGCTACAAGCTCTGCATGAAGGTGGCCAAGGTGCCCGCCTGCAGCAGTCCCGCCTGCGTCCGCATCTACCAGTTAGAATCCTTTCTGGAGTCCACACCCAGCTACCTGGGCCTGGAGAACTGTGATGAGGTGCTGAGGTTCTGTGATTCCTCGGGGCCTCGGCCTTCCTGCAGGCCAGCAAGCAGTTCCTGCAGATCAAGAGACAGCAGATGACACCGGGCCCCAGGGCAGGGCCCTCCCACCCCAGCGACAGCTTCTCCGTGGAACACCTGGTCCTGGGCAACCACAACCTCCGTGACGTGGCTGGTGGTCCTGAGAACTGCCTCACCAGCCTGACCCAGGATGGGGCGGAGATGCACTCCAGGTAAGTGACCACTGGGGAGAGGCCCAGAGAGCAGCATTCTGGGCGGAGGGCCCGGGGGAGAGGGGCTCCTCTTCAGGCCTGCCCTGGCCACCTGTCCCTGAGCGCTCTCTCGGAGAAGCCAGTTGCACTGAGAAATGTTCTCTGCAGGCTCACTGAGAGAATAGGGATCTGGGGTGCCTGTCTGAGGCCCCCAGGGCCGTGCGTGGTGCCGGCACACTGGGAGGTGCTTGCTGAGTGTGCAGGGAAGGATGGGTCTGGTTTCTCCCAAGATGAGGGAGTGTTTCATTTCTGGCTGGGTGAGGGTAGGTAGGACGGTTTTAATGGGCCAGCAGGCTGCCATGGCCTGTGGCAGGGTCTGCATGGGTTTCCTGGGACATGGGGGCAAAATGAGAGTCGGCCTTCGGGATATATGGTCAGGAGATGCCGTTTGGGGGCTGCCTGTGTTGTGGCCGCACAAATCCTTATCCTACAGCTAGTTCCCCAGCTCCTGTGAGGTGTTCTGCTCCAGGGACGAGGAGCAGTGAAGAGGCACAAGGAAAGTCCTTTGTGTCCTGGTGCTGCCTTCCAGGTCGGGGGAGGGAGGAGGCGGTAACACCCAAACACAAGAAGCAGGTGTCAGGTGCGGGATGAGGGGGTTCCCTGGTGTCAGGGCTGCGTGTCATCTGGAGCTGGGCTGACTTGCTCAGGGGCCTGTGTTTAAGATTCTGAAAGAGGTGTGGGCAAGCCTTGTGGCCGTCAGAGGGAAAGGCGGGTGTACCAGTGTGCTGGGCGGGTCCCAGCAAGGAGGGGTTGGGGCACAGTCCACCTTCTTAGCCGTTTGGTTTCCTTGGTGAGTGGGGCACCTGTCCAGGAGGGCGTGATCTGTGAACTGGGACCCTGGGCGGGCGTCCAAGGCAGCAGGGCAGGTAGGGAACCCTGCAGACACTTGGGAGGGGAGCCCCCATTTGAAGGAAATGCAGGATGTTGCGGGAGGCTGGGGCCTTAGCCAGGGCTGGGAGGGCAGCAGGGGCCAGTCTGGGCTGGGCTTTCCTGCCAGCAGGTCATCACGGGACCAGGGGATGTGGTCCAGGGCCCTCGGCCTCTCCTGAGCCAGTGGCACTCATGGATCCCACAGAATAGCATCTGTAGAGGCACAGAATAAGCTACGTGGGGTTGCAAAGGAAGCTGGTTATCCTAGACCTGTTTCTATTCGTGGCCACCATCCGAGTACCCTAGGTGAGAAACATGTTGAAGCAGTGTGGTGCCGGAGAGGATCAGAAAAGGAAGAAAGAGGTGGCCAGAACCCCGGGAAGAGGGTGCAAGTGTGGCATCCAGGAAACATCAGAAAATCTCAATCTTGTATCCGTGCATCAGGGCCCCCAGCACTGGGGTGGAAGGCCTGAGGGCCGATCTTCGGGCTGGGCAAGGTGGAGGTCACTGCCACCTCGGCTGGGGCAGCTTTTCTCCTTCCTTCAGGGTGGAGTGTGTACAAGGGGTGTGTGTGCATGTGTTCAGTGCATGGGGCACGTGTGTGCACATGATCACGCCTGCCCCCTTCCAGCATGTCAGTATGTACGTGTGTGCATTGCGTTCTTTTGTGCTTGTGTGTGAGCGTGGGAGGTACTCGCATCCACCGTGTGTGAGTGTGTGTGTAGGCTGATTTCAACAGTTGTGACAAAGCGCGTGTCGAGGCTGTGTGGCAGGGCTGGGGGCCTTGGGGGAAGACGGCTAGCAGGTCCTGAGGGCTGGGGCTGCCACGATGTAAAGTGGGGAGCTCGGCTGCGGGACAGGACACGGTCACTTGGCCCAGAGGCAGCTCAGACCCCACGTGCGTGCCCGGGACACCGAAGGCCTTGATGCTGAGACCTTGAAGTAAAGATCTTGGTGGTGGTGACAGCAGCCACATCTGAGTGTCTCCTTGGTGCAGAAAGCACCGCCTGTCAACCAGTTTACTCTTCCCAGCAGCCCGGGGATGTCTCCTCAGCGAGGCGGCCCCCTGTGCAGGGCCTTTGCACAGGCTGTTCCCTGAGCTGGAACACTCTTACCCGCACACCCACAGGGCCCCTTCCCTCAGCTTGTCGTGCCCTGGCCATCCTGACCCCCTCCCGTGCTGCTTCAAGTGGCAGCAGCCCCAGCCGCACTCTCACTGCACCCTGTCTCTTTCTCCTCCCACATGGCATCGCCTGTGAACACCGGGTAATTCCCGTGCCCTTATTCTCTGTCCTGTCACGATGTAGCGCCCAACAAGGCAGAGGAGTTTGCCCTGCTGGCTGATGAAACCTGGCACACAGGAGGCCCTGGATTAATGCTTATGTAGTGGAATGAGGCACAGAGATGTTAAGGCAGCAGCCAGGGTCACACAGCTTGTAAGGGGGAGACAGAGGGCAGAACCAGCTCTTGTCACCTGGTTGTCCTGCCCGTGGTGTCTCCTGCACTGCGCTTTACTGGTAGGAGGAGTGTGTGTGTGTGCATATATGTCAGGGTGGGGTGGCACGCAGACTAGAGAGGTCCAGCAGTCATTCAGAAGACACATAGCTGAGCTAGGCAGGTGCCCGGCCCCAGTTCTTGCTGGCTGAGCCTGTGCTAGGGATCTTCGCCCCTCACCCTGGTTAGGGGAGGCTGGGTCACATGTGTCCCTCCATCTGTAGCCCAGCTGGGAGCCAGCAGGAGGCCCAGGCCAACACGTGGCCCTTTTTCAGGCCTGCCCCCGCTTGGCCTGTCCAAATGTGACATGGCTACATCACGCATCTGGCTGGGAAGTATTTCTTGGGCCAGAGCAATTGTCCTCTGTCCTCCACCTCTGTCTCTGCCTGGCGGCATCTCAGCAGCTACCCTCCCGCTCCCCTGGCCTCTCAGCTCCATGTCCCTCTCTGTCTCATGGTAGTCTTTTGTGCATTTTCCTACCCCTGGCCAGATGGGCCAAGTCAGGACCCATGGGTGCTGGGGTAGGGGGTACTGGGGACTGTGTGGGGGAATTCAGAGAGAGGTCCTGTCCCCTGTGGTCCTCATTTGCACATCCATGCAGGGGGCTGAGGAGGAGTCCCCTTGCCCCAGGACAGGCCCTAACTTCAGAGGCTCTGGACCACGCCCTGGATGCATGGGGAACCAGCCTGGTAGGTGAGAGCTGGGCGGGAATGGACAGGGGCTGACCCATTGCCTCTGCTGCCCCACCTGCTGGGCTGAGGAGAGCTCTGCCCAGGAAGCAGGAAGGCCTAGCAGGATGCAGGCCTCTCGCAGGGCCCTCATCCCGGCCGACTGGGGCCACGGGCCAGGGAGGCCACAGCCTCCAGGCTGGGCCATCAGGGTGGGAAGGAGGCTGGGAGCCCCCTCACCATGTGCCCTCTCTCCTAGGTGGCCAAGGCTACCTGGCCACCATTAATTGGCTCTATTAATCCAGTAATGAGACAGAAATGAGGCTTACAGACAGAGGGGGCATTGAGCCAGGGAAGAATGGCTGCTTCTGTCTGGGCCTGGAGGGGCAGCCCAACCCCCAGCCTTGCCCACTCCTCTGCTGCCTCCTAATAGCCCACCCAGCCCAGGAGCCCTGTGGCCACCCAGCAACGGGGGTCTTGAGAGCCTTGCCCAGCACTGCGGGCCCCAGGAGTCCTTGTGTGGACAGTCCCCCATTGTGGATGCAGTAGTCTGAATAACACTTGTCAAGTGTCAGCTGTGAGTGGGACACACGTTAAAGATGTAACAATGACAACAAAACTAGCAGCCACCACTCGCTGAGTGTCCCTCCGTGATGGGAGCGCGGCCAAGGTCATGCGCAGTCTGTTTCTGGGATCAGGGCGCCACACGTGATGCAGAGCATCCACCAGTAGTCGAGTGTCCCTCTGGTGGAAGTGCGGCCAAGGTCGGGGGGCGGTCTGTGACCAGGATCAGGGCTTGTGTGTTACTGGGGCCAAGCACCCTGTGTCCAGGATCAGAAGTCAGTCTGTGGTGAAGATCAAGGCTCAGTGTGTGACCAGGGTCATGTCTAGGCTTGGGGGGCAGTCTGTCCTGTGAGCCACTGGCCCCCTGCCTGGCCTATCCTGATCTGACCCCTCCTCTCTGCCCCCTCCTCCCACCACATCCTCGCCACCTGAGTTACCAAGGTAACCAGCCCCAAAACAATGGGTGTTTTAGCAGCTGAGGCCTAACCTGAGTCTATCCTGAAAGACTGAGTGCTGCAGCAGTTGCCTTGGAACCAAGGGGCATCCTCTCTCTCCCGCTCACTGTCAGTTTCCTCATCACTCAGGCTTCCACTTGGGACCTGGGCTGGGGCAGCAAAAGGGGGACAGGCAGGACGTGCCCACCCTGGCCCTGCTTCCAGTGCTGTCTCCTGGACCCCAGGCCTCGGTCCCTTTGTCTCAGCGTGATGGGGTGGGATGGCTCAGCAGGGAGACCACTGAGGTGTAGAGTGCCAGGCGGGGGACCCTGTGGTCAGTTTTGGCAGGCAGCCTTAGTCTGGGGGCCAGTGAGCAGAGCACTTGGAATCTGATCCTGAGTTTGATCCCAGCTCCTCTCCTTGTCAGCCTGGTGGATAACTTGGCGCCTCTGTCTGCATCTCCTAAATAGGCGTGGTCATAGGCTGTTGAGGTCCCCCGAGCAAAGTGGCAGTGATGAAGGCCCGATGTCTGAGTAGCCTCGGCTCTCATACCTTCAGAGCCACTCCCCTACCCTGTCCCGAGGGCATGGAGGCAGTCCTGGGGCTCCCCGCCTTCCTCCAGGCCCTGGTCTGTTCCCCTTCTCCTGCCCCTGGCCCCCAGGGTCCTTCCACAACATTCCGAGTTCAGAGTGAAGTCCTATTTGTGCAGTATCCTTGAGACCCTGGCTTCACCTGTCTTCTGAGACTTGGGCCTCCACGCCGTCTCCAGGGCAGACCCTCCTGGCTGTCTGGACCACGTTTCTTTGAGCCTCAGTTGTCTCTGCTGTACGTGGAGTGAACATTTGGTTCCTGGGTGGTCTGAGACTCAAGGCTTCTGTGTACTGAGATGACCAGCACGGAGCAGGGGCGGGGGGAGGCAGGACTCCCTTGCCCAGGTTGCACCCCAGAGAGCCAACCTTGGTGGGAGCAACCTTCTTTGAAGAGTGTGGAGCCCCATCCCACTCGGCCCCCTCCTCAATGGGGGAGGCTGGGCATTGCTTCACGTGGACAGGCTCACATCTTCCCATCTGAACAATGAGAGCAGAGAGGCCTCCCTTGTGGGATCACAAGGCATCGTGCCGCACCAGACCCAGGATGGGGCTCAGAGTCAGGGTCCATGCAGAGCTCAGCCCTGTCCCTGCCCGCGGCCCTCCATGGCAAGTCCTCCCTGGGCCTCTGCTGCACAGCTGGGAGCTCAGGGGTCAAGCACGGTGCACGCCCACCCCAGTAAGGTTGGAGCCACACCTCCTACCCGTCCCTTGTCTGGCAGAGGGGCTCTGCCTCTGGGTTCAGGGGAAAGTGGGACCCGTGGGAGGGTTGGCTCTGTGAGAGAGGAGAAGTTTCTGCAAGGGCGTGGGGGGTGTGGAGTTCTCGGTTGCCACATAACTCAGCAGGGAGAAGGAGCCCCGCCTTCCAAATTGGGGGAGTTAGTGGTGTCCCTTCCTAGTGACCAGTTCATTCATCAGACCCCCTTGATGGTCAGTTCCCAGCACAGGCACGGGGGCCGCTGGGAGGGGACTCTGCACCTGTCCAGCAGACCTCTCCAGAGGAGAGCACCTGGACACTGCACCTGCTGGCCATCAAAGTGGGTTCCCTGGGATCAACTCTGATCCCAGCAGTGTGCCCACACCTGTCATCTCCCACCATTTCAGGCATCAGTCCGTCCTCAGATGAGGGGTATGAGGCCGGGGTGGGATGTACTAGATGGGCCCATGGCTCCAGAGCCCACCCTCTGGGCTCTCTACCCAGTCCTCGTTCTCATCCCAGGAGATGGGTCTGCTCGCCGGGGCCACAGAGAAGCGAGGCTCCAAGAGGCATTGGGGACCCTCTTGCCGGGCCAGGTGTGACCTTCCCTCAGGCAGCCCAGCTCCCCTGCTCCAGCCCTGGGGGAGTAGGTGGCATGTGGCAGTGGCCCAGGTCTAGCATGGGTCCCAGAGGTGGGCCTTGGCAGTGCCATCTCCTTGGTTCCTAGTACGTGGGTGCCATGTCAGCACATGCAGGGTGCTTGGCCCGGCCTGAACCTGGCCCACGGTAGGTGCTTGGTGAGGCTGCGTGCCCTTGTTGACTTTGCCCTGACCCTGCTTTGTTGGGAGGGTGAGGGCCTCAGGGCAACCCTGAGAATAAATAGGATGGTGGCACCAGGGTCCCTTGAAGAGGGAGTGATCTGGGAACGTTAAGTGTGGCCTTCTGAGAGAAAGCCTGGGTGAAGCAGCCTCTTCCTGAGCCCATCAGCATGGCCTGGAGTGCTGGCCCCAGATGTCAGGCCTCTCCACTCCTCACTGGGTCCCCAGTGTTTAGAGGCTGTCCCTCATCGTGTCCCCCGTGGCACTGGGGCTACTAAGGGGCTCAGGTCTTTGGGGGCATGAGGTCATGACTGCCGAGGGGAGAGGGCCAGGATGGAGAAGACCCAGGAGAGGGCTGAAGGAGGGTGGCCGGAGGGGCCTGGAGGCCCTCAGCAGCCAGTCTGCTGGGTGTCAGGGAGGCTCAGCCTGGTGCTCAGCCAGCAGCTGTGAGACTTGATCACTCGTGCTGTCCCTGGGGGGCGTGGGAGAACGAGCACACAGGTCATGGCTGGGGCAGGAGCGGGATGAGGAGGAGACTGATGCTCAGAGGAAACTGGACCGAGGACCACAGGGAGGGGGCAGCAGGGCGCGAGGACCTGTGCCCAGGAAACAGAGCCCGAGCACCATCCTCAACCCCATCTCCCCATCACCCTGTTGTGTAAGGCAACACTGGGATGGGTGGGGTGTCTTTCCTTCATTCATTCATTCACTCTTTAGACCTAGTTGGGGCTCCAGCTCTTTTTCCAGCCCCCACACTGGGGACCTGGATGCAAAGCCAGTGGAGACCCTGGCCCAGCTGCTTGTAGACAGTGCTGGAGGGCACCGAGCCTCCAGGGGGAAGTGGGGTGGGCACCGGACCCCAACTTCCCCAGCACCTCTGCCCCTCCCTGCCCAGCTGGCCTCTGCATCACACCCCACTGCTAATCCCATCTAGGCCCACACTCGCCTCCTGACCGCCAGGCTGCTCTGTCCCAGATCCATGCTTGGGAGGGGTCATCCCCTGAAAGACAAGTTGGAGCCCGTGCTCCACCAGCTGCTCCCCGGGTGGCAGCAGGGCACACGGGAGTACAGTGGGCCTTCGTACAGGGCGCCGAGTGCCAGGGTCCCGGGGTGGAAACTCGAGACTGCTTCCTGCAGCAGTGCCCGCAGCAGTGCCCACAGCAGGGCCGTGCCGAGGGACATGTGGGTGGGGGACCTATTGGGCGTGAAGCACGAGGGAGGGGCAAGACTGCGTGGCATCTCATTGTGGGACCTTGCAGTGTCCCTGGGGATGCTGGGGCCAGGGGGTGATGGTGAGGGATCAAGTGCATGTGAAGCATTTGTTTTTTCCTGTATTGAGTTGAGCTTGGCTTCTACTCTCAGGGTTTCAGTTTCTTCTCATGGCTTCCTGCTCCTTCGTCCCTGTGTCTGCATCCCTGTGGCTCCAGTATCTTTATCCTCCTTGTCCTCTATGCATGGCGGCATCCTGCAGTGGATGGAAGTGGCACCCTGGGCATCGGGGAGCAGATGCAGTGTCACGTGGTGGTGGCACACAGCAGGGGGAGCGTGCCTGATTAGGGCCCTTCTTTGGGGTAGCAGCCAGCCAGAGCCCCCAAGATGAGCACCAGCAATGCAGCACCCGGTGGTGTCCCAGTGAATGTCCCCCCACCTCATCGCTGGCCTCTGGGGAGGGGCTTCCTGAGAGACCAGGTGGGCTTGGGGCTCAGCTCTCCTGGGAAATGACTCCCCCTTGTGATGATGGATTTCCTGGAGGGGTCTTGGCCTTCCTGGCCCTGCTGTCAGCTCTCCACCCCTCTTCCTATCCCCACCCCCACTCACGTCCCGGCCTCTTGGCAGAGCCCTGTGAGATCTGTGACGAGGACAGCTTCGGTGCTGTGCTCTGGAAGGAGATCCTGGCCAGAGAGGTGGCCGCAGTCTGGTGTCCTCACAATGCCACAGGTGAGGACTGAGGGGTGGGTGTCATGGGGGACTCCTGTCCTTGAGATGCTAGTCCAAGGAGCTGTCAGCACAGGTCACACGGCCAGACCATGCCCAGGCAGCCCGTGCCCTGAAGCCGAGGCTGTACAGGTGGGAGGGGACGGGGGCTCAGGACCACCGTGTCCTGAGCTTTCAGCCGGAGCCAGTGCCTGCATGAAGCCATTTAGTGCAGTGCCCTAGGGAGCTAGCCATTGACACGTGGGAAACTGAGGCACAGAGACATTAACACAGTAGCCGTTGGCGTGCAGGACCACTAAGTAGGAAGTTGGCTGTGAACGCGGTGGTCTTCATCCCGGTGCAGCCCTGTGGAGTGATGGGAGGTGTGGAAAAGGCAGAGAGCGCTCCCGGAAGGGGCTTGGCACATCAGTGCGTTGATGTCCTTTGCCCCTCATATTTGAAGAGTGCAACCAGGTTTGGAGTTGTCTTTGCTGTGCAACATTCAGGAAGTGACCCTCCCTGAGTCTCTGTTTACTTTCTGTAAAACAAGTGTATCGTGGGTTCCTTGTCCCCCCGGGACCCTCCCCCTAGGGGGGTTGTGTGTTCCCAGCCGTGGTTGCAACCCCCCCCCCGCCGTGTTTTGTTTAAGAACAATACACGTCTGGGTAGCGTATTGCAAATCCACAGAAGTAAAGTGAAGAAAACCTAGGTCGTGGGATGGTGTGACTTGTCTGGCCTTTTGTCTGCGTGTACAACCATATTTTCCCTCGTTTTGATTGTGCACCATGCAGTAGAGCAGGGTCCTATCCTGCCCTGTGGCTTCTGTTGGGTGACAGGGTTGTGGCCTGTCCCCTAGGGTCATCGCCGCCGTGTGTGTGCACAAGTGTGCCTGGTTCCCTGGGAGTAAGTTCTGGGTCATAGCCTGTACCCGTGTTTAACGCAGTGGGCACCTGACGTCAGTTGGCCCCAAGGCTGCCCGGCGCCTGCTGCGGCACACCCAGGCCATCGGGTCCCCTGCCCCCATGGGTGGAGCTGAGCAGGGCCTGCCTGGCTGTTGGTTTTCCCCAGGGCTGTGGATAGGAAAGGTCTCTGCCCCCACGCAGGTGGGGTCCCTGAAGGTGTGGCTCTTGCCATGTCCCAGGACCTGGTGCAGTGCCCGACGTGAAGCATTTGCTCAGAAATGGTTTAAATGAAAGACACCTAGGGAGGCCTGTCCCCTATGCTGGGTCATTTGTAATGTGGCCACGGGCAAGTGTCTGCTTCTGGTGCTAAGGGTTCCAACTGGAGGGGCTTGTTCCTGGGAGCCATGGGTGGGACTCCTGTGCTTGAGGTGGGCACCCACCTGCGAATCAGGAGACAGAGCTGACCCACCATCTCCCCATGCCTCATCCTGTTAC